CCATACGTCAGAAACTACATATGTCAACACAGGAGATCCAAGAGTATACTCCAAATTTCTACCCTCTTGAACCATATTTTTCATGACAAACAATATGCAATATCCCTAAGAATTAGATTAAGGATGGCTATTGAAAAAAGCTGAAGTCTTCAAATATTTTTGCAAAAAATGAACAACTTCTTATCCCCCCTTCAAAAGCCAAATGCCAAAAAAGGACTTTATATCATGCAATCCTTAAACAATAATGAAAAATTTGTTCATCATTCCCTTAAAAAAATTATTAGAATTAGTGCAAAATTGTAATGATACATTATGTGATCGTTAACAAAATACTAATTTATAAAGTTGTTTTCCTCATTTCTAGTTTCTGTTTTGAAGTCAAAGGCCTGACCTCTTTTCCTTCATCTACCATGTAATTTTGGTCCTTCTTTAAAACGGCTTAATTTTAAGTGGCCCAGTTTTCTTCTATCAATTACTGAGCAAAGATTGTGGTCAAGAGGAAGAACAACACCAACAGACCACAATCATCCAGCAAAACCATACTTGCAGAAGAAAGGAGACAAGTACTAATAAAAAATAAAGCTAGGATCTAGAAGTGGCAAAACTTTAAGAATAAAGGGTCCGGCTGGGGATGTGGCTCAGGCGGTAGCGCGCTCGCCTGGCGTGCGTGCGGCCCGGGTTCGATCCTCAGCACCACATACCAACAAAGATGTTGTGTCCGCCGAGAACTAAAAAATACATATTAAAAATTGTCTCTCTCTGTCTCTCTCTCTCTCCCCTCTCTCACTCTCTCTTAAAAAAAAAAAAAAAGAATAAAGGGTCACAGAAAGAGAAATGGGGCAAAGAAGATAACAGAGTGGTCTACCAGCAGGAAATTGGTGAGTTGATACTAGATAGCCCAAGGGATTTGTTTACAGAGGATTTGGTTATTAAAAATTAATATTTTTTTTTTTTAGTTTTCGGCAGACACAACATCTTTGTTTGTATGTGGTGCTGAGGATCGAACCCGGGCCGCACGCATGCCAGGCAAGCGGCTACCGCTTGAGCCACATCCCCAGCCCCATGAATCCCGTGTTTTTAATTTTCTGATAGGAAACCTATCCATTTGACTGAAAAATGAATATTTACCCAAAGAGATGGTGGGAAAAGCCTTATAATCACCTTACAATATCTTACTGATCTTTTCTACCTTCCATCACACACAAGTAAACCACTTTTATTAGTCTCTTTATTTTTTAATTTTTGGTACTAGGGATTAAACCCAGGGCCTGGTACATGATAAGCATGCACTCTACTGCTGAGCTACAACCCCAGTCCTTATCAGTCTCTTTATACAAGCTAACACACACACACACACACACACACACACACACACACACACACACACACATTATTTTTCTTCCCCTTTTTCCTGACTAATGGTAGAATATTTTGTTCTGCATCTGACTTCTTTCCATTTTCGATTATATCTTGGAGATTTTTTTTTTCATATCAGCACATAAATTTAAAGTGAATCTGCTAAATAGCAAGAGATTTCACTTGAGGTATTGTAATTTTTGGATAATCTGTATTTATTTAGTCAGTTCTCTATTATGGACATTTGCATGGCTTCCAGTCTGTCATTATTAAAAGCAGTGTTGGACTGAGTGTGTAGCCCAGTGGCAGAGCACTTGCCTAGCATGCATGAGGCCCTAGGTTTAATCCCCAGCCCTGTAAAAATAAATTAAAAAATAAATAAATGTAATCAGTGTTGTGAACAACCTTGTAGAAATGCCATTCTTCAGATGCGCAGGTATCCCTGCAGGATAAATTTCCAAAAGAGGGGCTGTTGCATCAAAGGATGTGTATGTATATATCATTTCCATAGATTTTTGCTAAAGTCCCTCTACAGAGATTAAAATCAATTTACATACCCACAAGCAATATAAGAGATAGTCTTGTTTTCCCAAAGTCTCACCAGTAGTGTTGTCAGACATTTGCATTTTCTGCCAGTCCAGTTGGTGAAAAAAAGGCTTCAATGAGTTTCAATTTGAATTTTTTGTTTCTTTTCATGAAATTGAACATCTGTCTGTGTCAAAAAGTCATTTGCCGATTCATCCAATGTACTGAAATTCGGAGAAAATGTTATTCGGAGAAAAATACCTGATAAGGAAGCTGACTTTGAATGTCATTCTGGAAAGAGATCTTCTTGTGCTTTTTAAAAAATATATTATTTTTAGTTGTCAATGGGATCTTTATTATTTACATGTGGGGCTGAGAATCAAACTCCGTGCCTCACACATGCTGGGCAAGCGTTCTATCACTGAGTTACATCCCCAGTCCCTCTTCTTGTGGTTTTTATTCTTATTTAAAGAGTTAGAGTATGCTAAAAACATCAGAGCATGGGTTTGGCTGAACAATTTTAGCATGGGAAAGGGGACTCCCCCTGAGAACCTCTAATCTCTGACCAACCACCAAACTGAATGGCTTTATTGAGCTTCCCAGAAATCTGCACTGACCAAGGATGAGTAGAGAGCTCAAGAAATGTAACTTCACACATATTGAGGATCTTTTCAAGGATCTTACATCCTGGTGAGGAAAGGCAGATAATAAACACAATAAATAAGTTAAAGCACATAATTTCTTAGCAGGTGATAGGGGCTATGGTGAAAAATAAGACCATATGGGGGATCAGGAATGTAGGGTGCAATTTTAAACAGGGTGATCAGAACAGATCTCACTAAGATGATAATATGTGAACAAAGGAGGAGGTAAAGGACAATGCCTGGCACTATGTGGAGTAAGAACATTCTGGCAGTCAGCCAATGCAAAGCATGGTTGGATGGAAGTATAAGGAGTGGGGGTAGAGGAAAGGAGGAGGAAGAAGCCATAAGATCAGTGATAACAGATAAGGAAGGTTGGGAGAGAGCTGAGGGGGTCCTGGGGTTTAGGGAGAAGAGATAAGGTAAAAAAAAAAATTCTGGGTTGGTGAACAAATATGTTACACCATGGTTTCTTGATGTCTGGTTCCTATCTGCATTTTGTCCTTGTTTCAATTAAGTTTTCCAGAAGGGGCAGGGCAAGCCAATGCTCCAGCTGCTCACATAAGCAGACAGCAAACAACCCAAACTCCCCAGACAGACATGGGCATAGTTGGTACACTTTGTTGTTGGCTGATGGCTCCTGGCAGTAAGGGGACCATCTCTTGCCTTTTTCTCCTAAAATTCTGCTTTTCCCGTAGGCCTTTCTCCTTGTTAAATTTTAAACCCCTTAGTTGGAATGAGCATCTCACAAATATTTCACTTTGTCACCTTATTTCCTCATTTCTGATTGTCCCCGAGTTTACCTTGAGGCGATGTTAGTCATAACTACACATGGCCAGGCCCATGCGCATATCATATTATTCATATTCAGACTCAGGACAAACACAGCTATTTTAACAGCTCTTCATTTTTTTTTTGCAAGTTGAAGGGAATCTATTCTGTCTTAGAAATGAGAGAAGGGAGATGGTAACACTTGGGATTGAGAGGTGCCATGAAAAATCCAGCCCAGATTTCTTCCAGGGCACAAGACTAGCTTGGGGGGGGGGGTTCTCCAAATCTTTAGAACATTTCTTCTTGCAATGACCAACCCTAGAGATTTGCTGCTGTGCACCATTCTACCTGTCTGTATATTCCTTGCATCTTTCTTTAGACCCTAGTCCTCTCTTGTCTTACCTGTCTCCCCTTCCTCTCCATAAAAACAAAAACAAAACAAAAAATCAACCAAACAAAAAAACACATAGAATATTGTTTACCAGACAGAAAAGATACAAAGAAGGAGAGGCCCTCTCTATCCTAAAGTAATAATAAGATCTTGGCTGTCCTCAAATTTATTTTCCCTTCACTAATCAACGCAGATCCAGTGGGGTCACACCACTTAAATAAGGATGAATCATTAATGGTTAAGGAATGCCTACTCTTTCAGGTACAGAGCTCCAAGCCATATAAAGAGGACCAAGCGGGGCTGGGGATGTGGCTCAAGCAGTAGCGCACTCGACTGGCATGCATGCGCCCCAGGTTCAATCCTCAGCACCACATACCAACAAAGATGTTGTGTCTGCCGAAAACTAACTAAATAAATAATTCTCTCTCTCTCTCTCTCTCTCTCTCTCTCTCTCTCTCTCTCTCTCTCTCTCTCTCTCTCTCTCTCTCTCCCTCTCTCTCTCTCAAATAAATAAATAAATACATAAAAAAGAGGACCAAGCCACTCTCCCTGGCACTGATCCTCAGAAAAGGTGGAAGCCAAAATACAGGAAAAATAAAATGGCAAAATAATGCAAGCGATGTTAAGAGTTGACAATTTGCGGGCTTTAACTTTGGTCGTCCAGTGTCCAGAGGAGTCTTAAACCAGAGTTAGGCTTAAATTCCCAAGGGAACTTAAACCAGACTCCCAGGGATCTGGAGTCAGCATCTTGTGGCTGTGGGCAGGGCACGGATCTGGATGTGAATTGTTTCTTCTATTCATTTATTAGCACGGATTGACATCAGTGTCATACTGATGTTTCATTATCTATTTAAACCTCCAGTTTTTTAGGGGGAGGGGCATGGAAAAGGAGGCTAGATATCCATTTCGAGAGATGTCCGCAAGCAGAAGAGAAATACGCGTGCTGCTTAGCACACACCTGGATCTACCTTTTAAAATAAAGGACACATCAGTCAAGACCTATCTTTCGTTCAGTCTCACCAGAGAAGCCTTTTATCACAATTCCGTTCCTTACCCCGACTAAAAGTTCTACGGTCTGTTCGGTCCTGAACCCCCATCTTGATGCCACTGTGTTCAGTGCTCAGGGTACAGACAGACCGCTCAGCGCAGCACCCCTGCCTCCCTAGGCATTGCCGGAGTTGCCACCTTCTGGTTTACATCGACCTCAAGATGCCCCCAGCTGGGTGTGGACTGGCCGTCTTCCCTCCCCACCAGCAGCGCTGCCCTGGGCTCCCTCTGTCTGCTCCCTGACCGCTGTCGTCCACCCTGCTCCTCACCTGATGTAGGGGAGAAAGGGGTTGACGTGCCCGGAGAGCACAGCGACCACGTAGGAGATGATGAAGGCGGCGGACGACCAGGTCACCAGGAGGAAGGGGACGAAGGCCATCCCCTTCAGAAAGCACAGCATCGCGCCGCGGCCGCCGAGGGGGCGCAGCGCTCAGCGGGACGCGACGCCGGGTTGCTCCGGGCTGCGTGGAGGCGGCGGCCGCGCACTTGCCAATCAGCTAGACGGCGGCCACGTCTCGTGGCGGGACCCGAGGCTCCGGGAAGGCCTGGGCAGGCCGGGGAGGGAGAGAAGCGCGAAGAGCCAAGAGAGGTGGCAGGCTGCAAGGCCGCCGGGCCGGGGTGGGTGGGGCGCGGGTGGCCCGGGCTTGTTGCGAAACGCGTGAAGTCACAAAGCGGCTGCTGGGCCCCGGCGATTAGGAGACAGGCGGCCACCTCCCCCCGACGCCTTTCCAGGGTCGATCAGGCTCCTTTCACTTTTGATTCGGACGCCGCAGGGTGGGTGTGAGCGCGGGACGCTGGCTGGGACGCCCGCCCTGGTGGTCCCACCCCCAGCCGCCCGCCCGAGCTCTTGCGCAACTCTGGAGAAATGGATTAATTCCTCCCCGCCCCTCCTTGCCTCGGGGTTTCCGGGACTCTGGACTTCCCACCGGTACCCCGAGGGCTTCCCCTCCGGGGTTCCGCCGCGGTTTTGTCCCGGGGAAAAGGGTGGCCATGGCTTGGTGACGCCCACCCCAACCGGTCGCGCTGCTGCTACTGCTGCTGCTGCTGCTGCTACTACTGCTGCTGCTGCTGCTATAGGGATCCCGTCAGAGATGTTTGGTGACGTTCCCCAGGCCACCTGGCGCGGGTGTGACACCCACGTGGATGGTGTGCACCTGAAAACCAAGGTCACGTATAGGGTGGGTAGCAGTGGCAGGGAGCATGGGATCTTACCCTGGCTCAGCCTGGCGGCCTGGTGTGTCGTCTACTGGTCCACATCTCACCAGAGCGACTTAGAGTATTTGTTTTCCCTCGGTTTTTTTCCTTTCTCCTCTCATGGATCTGGATTAGTCCAGATTTGGAGCCTTAACCCAAGATGAATAATGTTGACCTGATACTCTTCAGACTCTGCAAAACGTATTCATACTCTGGAGGCACTTGTTAGCATGCTGATTTTAAGGGTTTCTGAGCCCCGTGTAAGTGGCAGAAGTCATCGGCTCAGAGGTAACCAAATGTGGGCTCATTTCAACCACATAAACATTTCTTGGGTGCCATGTTGTGCTAGGGAATAGGCTAAGAAGACCAAATAGCACTATGGGGATAGGAGACAGATCTATCCACTAACATGAAATTATATAGAATAGGATAAAAAAATAAAATAGAGATATGCATAGAACTGGGGACCAGAGAACAGCACTCAGATGAAGGATATGATGGTAGTTCCTGGAGATGACATCAGAGAAATAGCAATCTACAGAGAGACGAGCATTCCATGCCAAAGAAATAACAGGAGAAAATAGACTAAAAGTTCTTGTTCTGTGGGACTAAGAAAGCACCTAAATATGTGTAAGCAGGAAATGGGCAAAAGAGGCCAGCTCACAGAAACTTGGCTTTATGGTTTTGTTTTGTTTTGTTTTTTGAGGGAGATAGCAAGGAAATTATAGGAACATGAATGCATTAGTATTTCAGAAGATCAGGTGACAATGGAGTTGAGAGACCCACCACACTGAATAAAGCAGAATCTTTAAATTAAGTCTTTTTAAAAATTGCAAAAACTGTCATCCATGATGTTCTGTGTACATCTCTGCCCAGGTCTCTGTTCTGAAAACAATTCTATTCTCTCATCATCTTTTCTATTCAACCTTCCCTTTTCTTCTTTCCTGCTTTACTATTGATTCACCCAAACAACACTCTTCCTCGGCAAAGGAATAATGACATCATAAGGGATTCACCTGATCATCTTGCCCTTCTGTTACATAAGTAATTCATTTAGGAAATAGTTTTATCTAATCACATTGAGGACAGGTGCTGGGGGTTGAACCTAGGGGTGCTTTACCACTGAGCTATATCCCAAGGTTTTTTTATTTTTTATTTTGACATAGGAATTTTTTGCTAAATTATAGAGGTTGGCCTTGAACTTTTTATCATCTTGCCAAGGCTTCTTAATTGCTAGGATTATAGCTACCATGCCTGATTACTAATCACTTTTAGCATAAATATGAGTGGCAATAATATTTTGTTATTTAAAATAAACACATATATAATATATACATATATGTATGTATATATTTGGAATAGGGCTATTTCGGGGAAACCCAGCGTGTGAGAACTGTCCATCAAGACAGAAAGTGCATGGCTGGGGATGTGGCTCAAGCTGTAGCGCGCTTGCCTGGCATGTGTGCGGCCCGGGTTCGATCCTCAGCACCACATACCAACAAAAAGATGTTGTGTCCACCGAGAACTAAAAAATAAATATTAAAAAAAATTCTCTCTCTCTCTCTCTCTCTCTCTCTCTCTCCCCCCCCCTCACTCTCTCTTAAAAAAAAAAGACAGAAACTGCAAAGAGAGCAAAAAAAAATGTAGACAAATTCAGGACTGCATAAAATGCAGTTTGTTAGGGGCTTACGGATGGAAACATGACTTAGGTGACAACAGCAAAGGAGAATCCCTGCACCCTGATGCCGGTGCAAAGGGTTTATGTGCTTTGCTACACAAAGGTTGCCCATAACCAGAGTGTACCTGAGCTTTCCCCAAAACTATTAGCATGCTGAGCTGACCATCATAAAGACTTTGTTCCTGCTAGGGGTCACCTGACAGGCAAAATGGTAGTTACGACCATGACAGTCATGTCATGCTGGATCCCTATGTAGCTACATAACTACAATCATATATGTATACTTAGTATATGGTATCAAGCAGCCCTGAGAAGACACAGTGCCACTTTTCCTTCTAAAAGTTTCCCATATTATAGATCTTGAAAGACCTTCCTTCTTCCTGGAATAGTAAAGTTTATGACACTAAGAAATGCAGAAGTCTGAAAGCTGGGCATAGTGATGCATGCCAGTAATCCCATCTACTTGGGAGGTCAAGGAAAGAGGATCAAAAGTTTGAGGCCAGCCCAACTTAGCAAGACCCTGTCTCCAAAAAAAAAAAAAAAAAAAAAAAAATTGGCAGGGTGGGGATGTTGCTCAGTGGTAGAGTACTTGCCTAGCATGAGCAAGGCCACTGGTTCAATTCCCAGTATTATGGGGCTGGGGAGGAAATGAGGAAATGTGGAAAAGCATGTGACTGAGTATCTTTAGAATATATAATAAAAGTCACCTTCTCTCTTGGCCTGATTCCTGACTTTCCCTGGCAAAAAAAAAAAAAAAAAAGGAATGCTACTTCAAGATCTGGATGGAGTGACCTTATAAGGATAAAGTCAGTCTTCCTTGGGTGATCCAAAGGCAGTGTGCTTCCCTCTAACTGGTCCTCATATCAGCACTCAGGTATTATTCTCCCTTTGTTATGAGTAGAAACAGACTGAAGTTCCTGCAGCTAACATATAGATGTATAGAATTTTCAATCCAGTTCTAGTCTTTGGGGCTCCAAGGTACGTAACCATGGTAAATCCTCAAACTCCAGAATTACAGAAGGAAACTGCTTAAACAGTACATGGTTCTTATTTCTGTATTTTTATGTAGGTATATGTATTTATGCATGGATGTATATATGCAATTTGAAGAAATTATTATATACATGCATACATATGTGTGTGTACACATACACGCACACATATGTTGCTGGGGAAGTTGGGGTTATCTCTCTCTCTAGGCTTTTATGTGAAAGAGAAATAAATTTGCATTTACTCATAGCCAATGTTATTTGAGAATTTTCTCTTATGAGTAGCCACAACTATTTTATCATATTCTCTTTATGTCTCTAAAGTCAAGATACTTGTTCAAAGCCAGCCTCAGCAAAAGCGAGGCACTAAGCAACTCAGTGAGACCCTGTCTCTAAATAAAATACAAAAATAGGGCTGGGGATGTGACTCAGTGGTTGAGTGCCCCTGGGTTCAATCCCCAATACTCCCCCAAAATAAATTAAACTCAAGGTACCTAATTGCACGGTGGGCCACATTCCTAGAAAATTGAATATAAATTCATTTTTCTTTTTTTTAAATATTTATTTATTTTTTAGTTTTCGGCAGACTCAACATCTTTGTTTGTATGTGGTGCTGAGGATTGAACCTGGGCCGCATGCATGCGGCCATAAATTCATTTTTCTAAATAATATTATATTTTGGAGTGCAGGGGTATTAGGAATTGAACACAGGGCCTTGTACACACTGGGAAGTGATTTATCATGGAGCTATATCCTCAGTCCTTTTTTATTTTGAGACACTTAAGTTGCCTGGGCTGGCCTTGAACTTATGATTCTCCTGCCTCAGCCTCTTGAATAGCTTGGATTATAGGTGTGTGCTACCATTCCTGGCTCACTTTTGAAATACATAATAAATCCTCTTATATCCACATCATGGACAACCACAAAGATGGGAAGTTATACTCCATGTATATATGACATGTCAAAATACATTATACTCATTTTATTTTGAGACAAGATCCCACTAAGTTGTCCAGTCTAGTCCTCCTGCCTCAGTATTCCAAATAGCTGATCTAGTGCAATAGGAACTATTTCAGATCAAGTGCAATAGCATCTCTTTAAAATGCAGAGTTCAGAATAGTCTGGGTACTGTTTCTCCTTAAGCTGCAGCACAAAATCTCTTTCAGAGATGGCTTTAAATGGGCAACATTCTAACCCAATAAAAACAAACAAAAAACTCTTTCAGATGGAAAAAATACTACTAATAATAGTAATGCACAGTTCAGTATCTCAGTCACTAATCATTACACAATTTTTTATACCAGATATGACTTAACAATTAGCACCAGTATTGTAATGGCATTTCCAAGCAATGTATTGTAATTGATATCCTGCAGATATCACTATAACAAATGGATCAGAGTTAACAGCACCATAATAAATCATATTGATATAATGAGATATTAAATAAGATCTGACGAAAATCTGCTTTTCCTCTGGTATTTTCCCCTAAAACCCATAACCCTAATCTAATCCTAAGAAAACATCAGACAAACCCAAATCGAGGGCCATTCTATAAAATTTCCCATCAGTGGCTTCAAAAGTGTCAGGGTTATGAAAAGCAAATAATTACTAAGAAACTGACACAGGTTGAAAGGAAATAAGGTGACACAAGGACTTGGTATTGGTATTCCAGATTGGATCCTGGAACACAAAAGGGAAAAAATAATGGGTGAGAGTTGAGTAAAGTCATTTAATTAGTGGTATTTCGTCTATTAGTTTATTAGATTTCCTAGATTTGACAAATGTACCATGGTTATATAAGATATCAACCTTAGGAGAAGCTAGGGAAAGCATGTG